TTCTTGGTCCTGATTCTATCAACAACGTCCTTCTCGATCGCACCTTTATAGACATTACCAAAGGCTCCTCTTCCCAGTTGGTCCATGAATTCGATTTGGCTTAAGCTTATTTCCCAAGCGTCGGAATCATCACTAATCGAATTAAAGTTAAACTGTCAATTTCAGAATATAGGTCACCATATGAAATACGTTTAGGTCGATTTGGGTTCCAATTTTTCGCGTACGATTTGATCAGGTACAAGACAAAATCACATCACTCAATTGGCTCAAAATCCTATGACAAGTCATTCCAAAACTAAATGCACTTCAGTAGCAAAGTTAACATCAAATACTGTTTGCTTACCACGGTTGATTTTTTCTCGCTTGTAACTTGCGAAACACAGAAATGAGCAATAGAATAACAAACACACTASAAGCAATGGCTATGGCTGCTATGGCATAGGTTGGCAATGATAGTACAGAACGTGTCGACTGAAMCACAGTAGTTTCTAAAAAAGATAATACAAGCAATATGTCAGTGCTAAACGTGCACGTACACGTACAGAAGGAAAGGTATGTCGGTATATATTGAGGGTTCATTACTTTGTAGAGAGAGAAGTTTCAGAAGAAGGGGGGGGTCTCTTGGTCTCTTTAGGGCTCTCAAAGCTTCTTAGTGAAAACAACTTAGGCAACTTCCTTTGCCTGGAGCCAGGCGTAAGAAAAGAACAAAATTTTCTTACCTGTGTCTGTGGTTTGAGCTGTAGATTGAGTATCAGGAGCTTGAATGGCTACTGTAGTTGGTTCTGTTTTCACCGTTTTACAATGCACGATGACGCCATCATTGTCTTTGCATTTATCACCCCATTTGAACCGACATTGTTTAATCGATTGCTCAGTGCCATTACATTGTGTGTTACTCATCCAGATGATCTTTTCAGGGTTTTTTATGCTTTCATCACGATTTATGATTGCTACAGTACCATAGCCTAGCATTCGACAAATGATTTGAGCGTCTTGACGGTCCCAACCATCGTAACACATGGTGCCCCATGTGCCATTGTAGTAGACTTCTACTCTACCGTACTGGCTGTACTTGTTGTTAATAATGCCTCCCAAGCGAACGTCTAGATGAATAAAAACGTGTATTAAGGCTAGCGTTTGGAACATCAATGTCATTCTTGCGAGATCACTGTGCATTTTAGTTTAGAGCTTCCTTTTGCGAGTCGATGCCATATATGAAAAAAATGGCCGATTCTCCAAAAGTACTTCTCGCTAAAATATCTGCAAGTTTCAGACGATTTATTAAAGCTTTCAAAATCGAAAAAATCAACAAAAACCAGTRCACACGTACTTCCAAATAAAGTGAGATTCACATATATGGCCGCTAAACAAAGTAACAACTTTTCAGAGGACAATCTTGTCAAAAAATTAAGGCACTGATATAGCCTCATTAGATTTATAAACAGTGTAGCAAACTTCAATCGAAGATCTTAGAGTTAACGTACTAAAACCGTGAAACAAATAGTACTAATTACTACTAAATAGTATTGATTACTGAGACAATTAAAAACAAAGTAATTAGCATAGTTTATTACTATTATGCAATATTCAAGCTTCACGGATTTTAAAAGTGTTTTCACTCTAGCACTGAGTGGAAAACATTTTTAAAATTTTGAATTTTTAGATTTAAAAATTGTCAATAAAAGAAAATACATATTATAGATCTTTTAATTATCACTATTCTCAAAGGTTGCGTCAAGGTGTGATGCCCGTGGAATGTGATTCTTTGTTGTGAGCCGAGTATAATTAGTATAATTAATTTTCGAAAAAYACTGAAATGATTTGAGTTCACCAACCAACAAGACACCGCGTGGTCCTCGTAGCTATTGGTACTCAGTCTAGCTTCTTACTTGCTCGAGCTCAGGACTGAATGAACTTGTAACAGGAATTCAAGCTCACAGGTATGGTACTTTTAAAATATACAAAATTATTAATGAATAGGACTGAGTTTTGAAATGTGAGGGTAATGAGTAATAACTTTAAGACACATGCATAGGACACGGCATTTTCACGGTGAAGCACGAGACCTCAATCTTTAGATATTTCTTTGCTTTTCAACGAAGAACTTACCTTTATCTCAAATCTATAAAATCATTTTTTTTCCATTACATAAAGTTGTTATTTTCACTAGTAAAAAATTCGTGGTATCTCTATGATATTGGAAGTAAATAAAACTGGGTTATTTTGAAAAATTATTTGCTTTCATTGATAATTACATGATAAACAAAATATTACATAGTAGCTAGAGAGATACGCGGAATATTTTATCTTCTCGTGTTGAAAATCTCTCATTCGTTCACTACGCGCGCTCTCGTGAGAGATTTTTTAAACCAAGTCGAGGATATAATCCGTATCTACGCGCACTCATGTCATATTCTCTCCATATAGATTACCTTGTATGTTGATGTCGATTTGCGCTTGTACACTTTTYCCTTCTAAAAAAGCTCTACAATGATACKTCCCGTTGTCTTCGGGGTAATCCAGTTCTTTCATGGCAACATGGAGTACATAACTGTCCTTATCGGTAGAGTTTTTGATTTCCATTGTCTGTTTGCAGTCCTTGCATTGTTGTGGATCCGGAAAAGAGATATTTTTACTCTCTTTATAGCATGTCATGTTGGGCTTTGGATGTCCTTTGACATAGCATTCAAGCTTGACACTATCGCCAGCGTGCGGCGGTTGTTTTTTGACTTTGTCCTTATCACACGATATTTGCAGCTCAACATTTTTTTCTAAAATATATTTATAGCTATAATAAGAATAGGAATCGAAAATCTGATGCAATAAAAGTGGTTAAAATTAATGAAGCCAAGGTGAATAATTATATGATATTGATGACGTGTGCACAGCGAAATGGCGGGAATTTTTAAGGACGCGCGTGCGCATTCGGGACATTTAGAACTTTATCATAGTTTTCGTCGCGGTCGCTGCGCTCGTGGTTCCATTTGAGTTTTGAACATTTTATGGCGTCAAGAGTATGTCAATAAGAGGACATTCAACTCAAGACCATATGCAATTTGTTGAATACTTACCCTTAACATATAAGATTACAGTCATCTCATCTGTTTGGTTGCGTGCGTACGTCTGTACGCAGTTGTATTTCCCAGCATCACTCAAAGCAACGTTTCGTATCATCAGTATACTTTTTGCTAAATTTCTTTGATGGTCCTTTTTTTTCTTAATCTTGTTCGCTGAAATTGGCTTGCTTATATCTCCCTTAACTCTGGTCCATTTGAGCGAAACAGCAAGTGAACTTTCACAAGTGATGTCTTTGTTTTCTTCCTCTGTAATTTCTACTGTATTGGGCGGAGAGATGGACATTGAGGACGATTTATTTCTGTGTGGTACAAGTAGGCCAAAGCCACGAGGCCATGCAATAGATGTGTTACCGTCTTTGTGATTTGCGTTACACTTATAGAAACCTCCATCTGACTTCGTTACATTGAGGATTGTGTACACATCCCTTTTTCTCAGAACTCGTTTCCTGTAGCTTTCGACTGGAAACCATGTTAGATTCCTATGCTGCTTGAGCAGTGTTGTAGTGAAGCTGGAGTTATTCGTTGAACAGTCGAAGGCAAAGTTGTCTCCAGACGCAACGACCTCGATGAGAAACGGCTTTTTCAGGAAAACCACGGCATCTATAAATGTTGTGGAAATTCAATCTCTGGATAGATACAGAGGACATTAAATATGGACGTCCGGAGATAAAAAAGTATAAACTTTGATAAAGTCCTATTAGTATTTCAAACGAACTTTATTGCTTGGGCTGCCTGTACCTAAAACTCACCAAAAATTGACTAGAATCTGGAATGGGACATTACTCTTAATCTGACAACTTAAGGTCAATCAAGGACATTTGTCCTTGTGACGTCATTCAATGTCTAAAGAGCTGCAATATGGGACTGAAGAAATTTGGAACAGCAGCKTTCTGTTGTGCTATGTTGTGCTTCAAGTAATGTTTTTTTCAACCTTAATCATTTCTATGATAGTTTTTTCAGTATTGATTTTAGTGTACATYGATTTCTTATCCAATGTTTGGAGAATTCTCGACGGTTCAATTCGCAAGAAAACTTCTTAAAAATTCAACATCCGTCATTTGATTCCCTCATCAGTACGATGATGCATTTCGCTAAAGCAAGCATGACGTCATTAGGGGAGGGCGCTATTAGAGAAGCACATTAACGAGACTAAAGGACCTTACCATCTTTCATCCTGTCTCGAAAAGTTGAAAATTGTTTAAATGGTTCATGTACACCATACATTACTAAGAACTGCGTGTCACTCCAGGTGAGACTTTTTTCGTTTACGTCGCTTGCTTTGCATTGGTAGAACCCTGCGTCAGTCATATTGAAGTTCCTTATTGTGTAAACATCTCTTTCTTTTGAATATTTTGAGTTTAGTCCAGGGATTGATTGGTTCACTGTGATAGTTTTGGTATCCTTCATTAACGACGTTTTCACCTCTGAACTGTTCGTTGTACAGTTGATGATGTAAGAATCCCCGAGGAGTACCACGTCCATAAGAGGTTTGTGAAAAAATATCACATTATTGGGTATCTCTGCAACAATAGTGTGATAGATGGCCTTAGTTAATTACTAAGTATACAGCTATGTTGGATACCGAATATTACATTATTGACTGCAAGTTAACTGCCTTACAAAATGGCCGATTCTAAAGTAATAAGTTTAAAATTCACACAGTTGAAAAAACCTTGTTGGGTCACGTTAACTGCTCGGGGGGGGGGGGGGGGGGGGATTTAAAAGTACCGGGGATGCTCGTAGGATCTTTTATGCGTAAAAAATCGTGATTGTAAATCTTTTAGGGTGCCAATTTGGAGTTTCAGGAAATTTGCATTTTATACAATTAATGTTTTGACATTAAATATTTTATAAATTTTATCATCGGAACTGATGTAACAATATTTGTTGTGCAATCTCTTAGGGGTTAAAAATCAGTCAGCCAAGCCTATTTTTCAAGACTTCCAGGATCTTTTAGGGGTATTTTTGAAAATTTCCGTCCGACAAACATCCCCGGTACTTTTACCCCCACCCCGCCCCTCCAAGGGATCTTGGATACTTAGAAATTCGAAGGATATTTACAAAAACTTGTTACACTTAACCAATATTCGCAAACAAGACCATTTTATTCAGTGCAGGCAATTTTTTGCGAATATTGGTTAAGTGTAAAAAGTTTTTGTAAATATCCTTCGAATTTCTAAGTATCCAAGATCCCTTGGAGGGGCGGGATGGGGGTAAAATATATGCTTTCCCATGCTCCTTTTCGGTCTTAGTTTTGATGATGCAACGCTTTTGAACCCCACGCTTTTTCAGCTAGGTGTGTATTCTTTCCATCGAAGGTCTTAACTTGAAGGAACTGGCATTAAATCATTCTAAAAAAGGTCACATGACTACGAACAAAGCTTTTCGGTCTTGAAATACAGTAAAAACCCGCGTATAAGAACAAGTGGATTAAGAATTAATTTGCATTTACGTGGTGCGTTGCGACACAAAAGAGCAGCTGGCTCGCACAATTGCCTGAGCTCAACTCTCTAATCAAAAAAGACATATATATTCTGTACACACTGAATGCAACCTTTTATAGATTTCTATAGGAATCACGTCTTGAACTCCTTAAAATATCTATCACATATGGGTAAACACTGAAATTTGGATCTCCAATGACTTAATGATATCCCGCAAGCAGCTAAAAAGAAGGAAACGTTTATAATTGAGTCGTCAACTTACTTGCAAAGCTTTGATGCCATTCTAGGTTTGCGGCTGAGAGGGTCAATATTAGACCAAGGACAGTAAACTGCGCCATAAAGCTTGATGCCACGAGATATCTTTTACGCTGTAAATGGAAAGAATATCAAGCGTGCTATATACTGCCATCCCGCAGATTGGAAAAATTGTTTTTGTTGATGCTTTTTTATTCGTTTTTTTTTTATCAGTTTAAGGTATTTTAATTTTTTTTAATATTTCTTTCTTTTGATCTATTTTTCTTTTAATTTTTCTTTTTCCCTTTTTTTTTTTGTTTCTTTCTTTAAGCTGTGATAGTTGTTGCCTTTTCATTTGTAAGATACTTTACTGAGAACGCACGCGATTTTTTTCAAATTGAAACTGTTTTTAATTCAGAAGAACTGAGAAATTAAAACATGCAATTTCAGATCATCTGTTACTCGTGATCATTAACCTTTCAATATATTTGATGTTCATCGAACAATTAGTRAAACGAAGTTGATGTCGGCTTTTCATTTGACGTGTCAACAAAGTCATCCATTTTATCAAACGATTAATTGAATAAAACTGCGCAAAGGAACTTGACATGAAAACCAGAAAAGCAAATGATATTTAGATCTACAACATGGAAACATCTGCGGTTTGTGTGCACATATGGTGCATGGGGAGGGGTGAGACCTTTTATACATCAGGGATAGTTTAACGCTCGTTGCTAGCTCTTGGGATTCCTGTGTATACAGACATGACACACTGATGAAATTTAACGCTCGAATTTTATTTGAACTTTAATCAATTCTGACATCGCAAGGCTTCTGTTCTTAGGAGCCTGTGTATCTTTGAAAGAAATATGTATTTTTGTATGCATAGCTTAGCGGGTAGTCATTCTGCTTAATTTACACCATTGAAAATGGGGGAATAGCGCCGGCCAGCTTTCCTGCCCTAGTCTTGTAAGGGCGTACATATAATTACAGAACAACAATACGCAAAGAGGATTTTTATTTTTTAAACTGGTATTAACATTAAGAAAATGCTCATGAGGTATTATATTGAAAATAATGAACTACTTTATTGTGAAAATACAAGTCAAAGTTACAAGAATATACAAATAATATGAAAGTAGATCACTATATGAAAAGATTATTGGAATGAATATTTTTCGTATTTCCGAGGCAAATAACTAGAAATAAGAAAAATTATTGCCAATATGGCCGAAGAAGAATACAATATAAGTTGACCGCAGAATAGTAAACTAATAAATAAAGAATTTATTGGAAACATGAAATGATGAAACAAAACAAAACAAAACAAAATATCAAAGAAAGGAAAGAAAAATAAACAAAACTAAGAGAGAAAGAAAGATAAAAAATAAAGAACTTAAAAGAAAAAAGGAGAAAGATATAGCAAAAAGTTAATCTTTCTACAATTGTTCGAAAATTATTATTTAATAGATGACAAGCTTGCCATATTTATTCATGACTGATCAACTGAATTAATTGGTATTAAACAGGCCGGATGTACTTTTTAGGTTCTCTCTATATCCGTATGCAATATCAACTTTTAATTATAAAAAGATGAAAAAGGAAAAAAGGTCAGACAGACAAATAAGGAAAACACATGCGTCTCACTCAGATCTCTTTCAAAATTTGCACCAGCAAAAAAGCAATACATGTAATTAGTCATTTTTTTGTTTTGCTTTTCAAAAAGAAAAAGACAAAAATGTTTGACTCACCCGAGATCTCAAAGAATTGAAGACAACAATTATAACTGATGAAGCCAAGAAAACTCGATCGACTCTCTGTTCCAAAACTCTACTGTCAGTCAGCGTCGTCTGCTAACGTATTGTGAGAATAGCATGTTCAATAATTAGCTCATTATAATAATACTTCATCCTTATTCGTCAATTGTAACCACACAATTAAGAATCCTACATCATGAAATTAATTGCACACTGCCGTTGCATAGTAACCATAGAAAATTCGCCAGCTTGCCTTTAGAAAACGGCACTAAAATGCATACATCATTCATATTAAATTGAACTGCTCTTTTTAATTTGTGTATAAATTATGAAAGAAAACGCATTTATAGAAGGATGAAGCAGAAATAACAGATACCGACCACACCCAATGTTCCTTGTTTATACGCTTTGTATAACTTTGTATAACTTGATATCTTCTGACATATACACCTACTTGCAGAAACGTTGTCATAGAAAATAGAACATTTGAATTTAGTAAAAAGGAATAAATTAAAACAAGACAAAAGAAAGCGTTCAGCCTCAGTGATCTTCTTTTGTCTTTTTTAATTTATTCCTTTTTGACTAAATACAAATGTCCTATTTTCTATGACAACGTTTTCGCAAGTAGGTTTAGATCGGAAAACTGTACTGATATGCTGTCGATTCGTGTCCAGGTGAGAAAACCGACGGCTTGAACACTATTAATGTCAACCGGTTTACAGACATTGGTCCTGGGATCTGCGATCACTTAAATAGACTCAAGTTTTTCACATCATGGTTGCCATTGTTTTATAATATAAATTAATAACAGAAGCATTTTGTATTGAGCAAGAAATATAGTAAAATGTTTAGTTTTTGTATTAATATCAGTAAATTACAGCCTTTTGCAAAAATTATGAGAAATGTCTAAATATCTAAATATCATAATATCGAGTGCATGATGGGTAATCCCGCGCGATGCCCTTAGTCCCTTGTCTTTGAAGTTTTTTTTTTTTTGGCGACAGACTTATCCGTAGTTCTGAACATTTTCTCGATGTCAACAATGAATTATTCTAGCAAACCCGCGTGTTCCGGACAATATATGGAGATGGATATTATGATATTTAGATATTTAGACAATTCTCATAATTTTTGCAAAAGGCTGTATTCATTATTTTATTTATATTGACCCTTTGCCAAAATGACACCTCTTATTTACATAATTGCTTTTCAGTTCATTACAAAATGACACCTAAAAAACTAAAGAATATGCTTTACTTAGTGAGCTCTGTAAAATTCTACTTTATAGGTTTCATTGAAAACGCAAAAGAGACAAAGAGAAAAAAATATGCTTATATTGTTATATTTTATTGAAAGAAAGTGTGGTTGAGTTGTATATTGTATTTCTCTGTAAAATAAGGAAATGAATTCAATACATATATCCTTACAAGCATTTTATTCTTTAGCATTTCGGAGTTCACTTAACATTATGTTGTGAAAAAAAACAATTACGCTAATGACACAGGCGGCCATTTTGTTTCAAGAGGCTACAAATTTCTTCCTTGATATCCAAATAATGGACAATTTTGATCGCTTATACCAGATCATCAGCAAAAACGACTTATTTTTTAGAGAGAGAGGATCAAATTCAGATCCCTGATCCCTCAATTAACGTTGATATGATCCTTGATCCTAAAAATATCCCATATTCCCGATGCCAAAGTTAATTCTCCAGTCCAGTCTCTCGCGTTCATATTAAACCGATAGTTCACAGGAATCAAATATAAAGGGGAAACGGGGGCTGGAACGCGCTTAACTATAACAGGAAGAATTAATGAACTAACAAAGCCATGTCCGACAATGAGACAAAACAAACAATAGCTGAATATACTCTTTATTAAAATTTCGTATGGGAAAAAATAATGTTTTGCAACTTGGCATAAACAAAAGTAAGATGACTCGGATAATTCAGGACATGGGCGGGCAGAGCGACACGACTTGTTTACAATACCATGCTCTGAATTGCATCTATCAATACGATTTACCAACATTTTCCTCAAAACATGCTATAAAGTATATCTTTTTTTAGACTGGTAAATTAGATTCACCAATCCATAAATAATTATAAACCATTTGACATTGTCGTAAATAAGGTTTCGTTTTCATTTAATTAAACTACCAATCTTCTTTTTGAATTCAGTGTATTTTGAAAACACCAACACGCTTTCAAATATGTAGTGGAGACCATTCGTCGGCTTCCTCTCGCCACTGCCACGGCCACGTAACTTTGCTGTCAATTCTTGTACGGCTCTAACGTAAAAACAATAAACATTCTTGTATTTTCATCAATGAATAAAACGCGGCTAAAGCTACAGCCAAGATTCAAGTGCCAAATCATATATTAAGCTGTCTAACAGTTTTGTTGTAGACGTTTGGGAACAATTATTAATCCGGAGACGCGAAAAAAAACAAAACAAAATTCACTAAGAGTCATAGACTAGATCTATACGAACTTATTTTAGACATTATTTTCCTCGATTCACTTAAATATTTACATGCATAAACATATAAGACAACAAAAAATCAAGATTACATTAAATGTACTATGTTTAATCAGAGATAACTTTAGGATATATACTGTATATACCTCTATCATAAATCATGTCGGAACAAAAACGCCCTTAACGCTATTTGATATCATATCATGTCAAGGTGGCAGGCATTTGTTGAACGCCGATATCAACTGATGGGAAAGCATTGGAAGCAGTGTTTATCGTTTGAACGTTGTATAGGACGGTCTGTTGTCTCTCTTTTTAAAGTTGTTGACATTGCTATTTTAACTACTGGTTCAGAAATCACTGAAAAAAATCTCTCTTGAAAAGTTCGTTGTTTCACTACTTACGCGTGAAAATAGTCGGCATCATTCGTCTTCTGCGCGCACCTGAGTAGTACATACCATACCTACTGTATACCCTGACTTTAACYTTAGAAAACGCCACTCTATATGACCTCATAGAAAATACTGTATTTGTTTCAATTTTACAAACGAGTCTAAAAAGCGCTGAATAGCGTTTTTTTGTCGCAAAATTGATGAATGATTCCCCCTGCTGCTCAATGTTATTCGTTAAAATGATGTTATTAAAAAGTATTCGATTGACGTAACCCGAATGTTAAAGTCGCCTTCGACGCCACCCTCGAATAAGCGCCACACACGGATAATAGAGTCTATTCGAGGTAAGTTCTTGATTATGGCCATACAAAAGTGTTGTTATATATATATATATATATCATACCTCTCTTTTGCCTTGTAGTTTTAGACAACACTTGCAAAATCTAGGACACCTGTAGACACAGCATTCTTTAGCATTTCTATGAGCGTCTAYAGTATTTGAGGGATATGCTTGATATTTCGCAACCCCTATCAGGATAAACAAAAGTAGAAAACATAGTGATTTTGTGTTGGTCATGTCGCGGGAGTTCGTTGATTGAGTGCTAGCGTCTTCAGTGTTCAAGATCAGTTTATAACTGACAAAAATTGCTTGTATTTAGCGTCAACGGCTATATGAGCCGGCTAATGTAGCAGGCTGGGAATTTTTTGTAATTAATGATATGTTGTTAATAGGGAATCCATTTCCTTTGTTATAAGGTGAATTTCCTGAATGCTATGTTTCAACTTTTTACTTAGTTCAATTAACACGTTGAGGGAAGTTGCGCAAAACGATCTCTGAGACGGCACGTATGCATCTTTAATTTTCAATTGTTATAAAAGTCGATTCATTTTCATTGCAGCGCGAATTAGTTCTTTTGTTGCCTTGATTACGTATTTCGTCTTTAGTAATTTTTTTTGTTTTTGTTTGAACTTAGAGATATCTTTTTAATATTTTCGTTTTATTGAATCGACTTCCTTTCAGTGACAGAAATCATTTGGTTAACGGRGAATTTTGATGTAAAATTTCTCCATTTGTTCATTTGTTAATTGACTTTTGTCAGTTGTTCAGTGATCATTTCACAATCAATCCATCACAATCTATCTACCCACATGCCCGACACAACGCGTGCGGTGTTCTTAATATGTATTGCTGAATAAGATTTAGTTATCAACTAACTAAGAATTCAACAAAGTATAAACACAATGTCAATTATTTAAATTCCTTTGTAGCATTGTTCTCAATTCTTAGTTAGTTGATAACTAAATCTTATTTAGCACTACATAATTAAGAATTTCATACTGTAGCACGTCAAAATAATTTCAACTTTTACCCCTCCTTTGACACACAGAAAACACAATGTTTGAGGAAAACTAGTTTCGTCTATTCGACCTTATCAATTCCTCTACAACTGTTGTATACGATAAGCGCGCTTACATTTGAAATTTTACAAACAGCGCGCGTAAATTACGTTAAGAATTAAGAATTGTTTCATGCTTATGTGACTTGCACTCTATATTGCTATCTATTTTTTTTATTATTATTATTTTTTTTTGCTGTCATTCCCTTTGTCTTTTATTTGATGTTAAATTCAGACGTTATTAACTTGTCTTGTAACATCGTTTCACAAGCAATTTTCTTTGTAAGGCGCGGGAACTAAATTAGAAAGTAGCCCAACCAGAAAAAAAAAATCTATTCTAAAAACAGCTCTTTCCTGATGATTTACTAATTACCCAAAAGAGGCAAAAATAGGCTAGGTTTTCCATTACCAAACAATGCCCGCTTTTGAAAACAAATTACACATATAGGAAAAAACGCGTAACGGTTTTCATAATATAGCGTCGGGTCGAATCCCCGATGGCACCCAACAAATAGAAGTGCATCAAAATTAACACAAGCTTTTTAAGAGCTATTTTTGATCGTACGAGCTCTCATGCATGCGGTTATACGAAAAGTGCAAAATTTATAAATGCTATTTCGTGAAAGGAATTGAGTGTTAATGGCCACGGAATACCGCCAAGAAAATTTCGAAATTTGACTTTTTTTTTACTTCAATTTGATGTCTTTATTTTCCTATTATGAATCAACTAGTATTTCAAATATAAGTATTGGACTTGGAATTCTTTAAAAAATAAGTTTTATATATCAAAACAAACCTGATTCAGGGCACTTAAGAAAATATAAAAAGTTAATTAACCTCTTATAAACTAAACAAATTTCATATTTATACCATTTTGAAAATACGGAATTGATAATCTAGTGTTTGAAACTAAATATTAAAGGAAACTTATTTGAGGCGGGTGGCGTGCATGGATGTGGGTATCGACGTTTTCACTTGCCCTTTGCTATTGGATTAGTCATTTTTATGCAGACGTAAAACGGTATGTCATTTGCGTGTGAAAAACTGAATCCGTGTATCCACAAAGCTGACTTTCCGCAAAAGAGACAATTCCGTGCTATCCATAAGAAGTCCTTTTGTTTATTGGCGCTTTTAATTCAGTTTATTATTTCGTGGACGGAATTTCTGCTTTATACATTATTTACCAACAAAAAGTAATTTAAAATAACTTTTATGTTTATTGAAATAAACTTAGTACACCCAAAAATTATATCCCAGGAGAAATGAAAATGTTGCCTCTTTAAGTCACACCAATGTTTCTCATTCTCATTTTCTTCCTTTTTCAGTCAATTTTCTATCCTACCATGACGTCACGCATCGAGTAGATGCTGTAAAGCAAAGATTTTCTTGCATTCAAACCTACCTTCAAAATTATGAAAAAAAGAAATCATGCATGTTTTATGTGTATAGTTTAACTATTCAATCTTAGTACTGTATCTTTCTCAACCAGTATTTCAATACTTTCCACCAAAGTCTATACCTATTGAATATCTTAAGAACTAAAGTCATATAAGAATTTCTTTAAGGCACACTTGACAATATGTATTGAGTCAAGCATCTGGCAGAAAACGTTTTTTCTCATGGGCTCTTGAGTTTGTTAAAAGATTGTTCAGGCTAAACAGAACAATTAGATTTTTTCAGCGAGTGTCTCCTAAAAGGAATATAAAATAAATATAGCTATGTCATATTTGAAGAACGAGAGAGAGATTACATGTCAGGAAACGAAACCAACTTCTTTTTGCAAAATGGCGTGCTTTGATTGGACAACACGGATTTGGTCACCCTYCTTTATTAGCGGACAGAAAGACTGGGTTCGAGTTAACATACAAGATGGCGGACGATCGGCGGACGAGATCAAGTATTTTTGACTTCATTTTAATCTAAGAATGCCGCTCGTAATATTGACTGGATATCCTTGTTCTGGGAAAAGTAAGCGAGTTGATGAGCTGAAGAAGTATCTAGAGGAAACTAAGGGTCAAAATGTACGTATAATCGACGATGAAATTGCTGGAGTTGACAGAGGGACTACATATGCTGGTATGTAGAACTTATAAGGCTAAAATTATTGATTATATTTAGAATATTGAGTTAATTATTATCAGAAGTATTACTTAATGCTATTTTCGCACTAATCTTGTCAGCATCTGCTCGTGAAAAGGAAGCCAGAGGTCTTTTAAAGTCAGCTGTAGAGAGGTATTAATATAAACTTACGTCTAAAACCACATAAACTTACATGTCAATATATGTAACAGCTTGTTCACCTGCTTCCAGACTTATATCAAGAGATGCAATTGTTATCTTGGATTCATTAAATTACATTAAAGGTACATTTTACCACTATAATCATTGTATTTTGGTTTTCTGCTCAATATATGTGCAATGCTTTCTTCCTATTTCATCATTATAAT